GTTATAGAGGTAACTATGACGATAAAATCGAAAGAACGAATCCCAGATATAAAGGTTTGCTTCGTCTTACTAACAGAGGTAATTCAATGCCAAAGTGTTAGGGCCTCAGCATGAGTTCCACTTATGGAGGTTTCTCACTTATCCAGGTGCCACTTAACCAAGTTTCACTGTATTTCTGATAAAATTCGCTCATAGTTTCAAACATCCTGTTGAAAATTCCATAAAACAATTAGAAATAGGCCTCACAGATCGATATCAACCTCTTCAACCCACTTACCGATGGACTGAGGAGCACCATATCGTCTGCATAGCTTATATTATATAACAAAGGCAAAATATATAGACTTAAAAAACTTCAACTAACTAAAGCTTTGTATAATTTATTATAATTATTTTTTTATCTAATCATTATAATTGCATTCGTCTGCCACGTTATCGTTCAAATGTAAACCAACGACCTGACGGGCGTGGCTGAAACCGGTTCGCAGTCATCAGTTCTGACCTCTCACCTAAATAGCAATAGACTCTTGTACGGTAACTGATTACAGTACATACTTTCTTTTAAAATTATAGAAGTGGATGTGTGGGTTTATGTGTTTATACTTATAATAATATTGAAAGGAAAAATACACGAATATTTCACGGGAGTTCCACAAGATTGACCGACTACGTCATTTACAAGTCCATTATTCGCTAATTTAAATTGAAGTGACTTTAACTTTTGTACAAAGTCACTACGTAAGATTTGAAGCATAAAAAGTGTAATTTGAAATATACGGTTTCATGTAGCGTGAATATGTAAGTAATTTACAAGAACGAATAATAGTAAGTAATTAATATAGGTAATTAAAGTTTAGTGTAATAAATTGAATTTAATAAATTTAACTTAAGCGATCACCATTCGCCAATTAACACAAACTAATAGTTGTATTAAGATTAGTGAAATTAGTAGCTAATGTTTGATTTAAAAATATTCTGTGAAAATGTGTGTCAAATTGAACATGTGAAATTTTCTTTGTAATTGCTCCATGGAAAATTTTGTCTGAGTAAAAAAATAATCATAATGTCAGTTTATTTTACATTTGCTGTCACTAATAGTAAATCAAGATTCTATTTTATACTTTCTAGATTGAATAAAAAGCAGACACAAAAGAAGAATAACGTTTGTATAAGGTTTTAACTAAGAAACTAACCATTAAAAAAATTGAGAAATTGAGAGAAAATATATTAAAATTATCAAAGTTATACTTCTACTTAAAGAAATTAAATTAAATTGAATATATTGATATTTAATTGAAAATAAATATAAATGTTACATTACGAAAATAATTATTAATATAGTAATAGGGTATTTTTATATGTAAACATGTTATCTAGAATGTAAAAGATATAAAATGACGTAATTAGGTACATACATAAACAGTTAACATTTTATCAGAGTCAAGGTTATTTACCTCTATTCATATTTTTTGTGAAGAATTGAATCGACGTTCCAAATTGCTTGTTTGTGGTTGTTTATATATATATATCTTTTACTAAATATTCCATTTTTAAAAGAACTGGAAACATGCGTGTATCTTAATCAAAGCATATACAACATATCACAGAGTTTTAACTTCCATAAGTAGACATCGGAAAGAGAGTGAAATGGCAGGCATGTGTACGGGTCTTTTGAACCAAACCTGATTTTGCCTATTAAGATGTTAGCTGAAATTTAAGTATCATTACAATATGCGTCAAATAACTTTGCGACAACAAAGTTCGCGAGTAGCGCAGCAATTTCAAGTGTCAGAGGGATAAGTTGAACACACTTAAGTGAACACAAGGAATAGTTTACGGAATATATGAGTGTTAACAATGGGAATAATAACTGGTGAAATAGGTTGAAAATACACCTTGCAGCTAATTTTATTATAATCTAATACAATAATATTACAACAATAATTTATCAAAAACAGCTGCAATCAATTTTCGACTTTTCTCTAAAAGCGCATTTTTTGACATCTCTAAATGACGCTGATTACAAATATCAAAAATGAAATAAGACATTGAAGATGTTCATTAGGTTAAAAATTGCTTTTTTCTTAAGTACCTACCTACTCATCACATATAAACAATAAAAAATTGATGCAAGCAATTTTCGACTTTATAAATATGAACAACGTCCAATTCCTTTTTTAATATTGGTGATCAGCGTCATTTGTAGACGCCAAAAGACACGTTTTTAGTGAAACATCTTTAAGGGAGTTATTGCTTGTAACTGTTTTGTTCTGTACCGATATGCTGGGACATACTAAAAAAAAATGGTTTATTTATTTGCTACCTTAAATAGACTAAATATTGAACATAATTCTAGTAGTGTCTATCAGTTGATAATTTTCGTATTCCCTAGTAGTCTGAAGTTGTTACTAAAAGCGTGATAATGTTTTTACTTGTTTGCCACTTTTTTGACGAGAGTAACTGTGCAACATTCGGTTTGCAGATAACTTGTATAGCACATATTGTAAACACTAATACGTCTAGATTGAAAATGACAGGTTATTTATACGACGCAACACTGCAGTAAAGGACCCAACTATGTGTCTTTGAAACGAAGTCAAAAAATTAGTCATTACAATTTAGTCATTAAAAATTATATATACTGTGATAAAATAGATATTGCTTTACAATTCCGTGGTTCTGCGGAAAAGTTCATTATAATTGTATGAGTTGCGCCATTACAAAACTGTTTCGGCTTGAAAGTATGAAACGTCAAACGGTACCTCTTAGATTAGATGGACTATAGGTATTGTATTCATCAATATCAAAGTCATTCGTTTACGATTTTCTCCGTCCGTCAATAAAATGTTGGACCGACAAATCACTTAAATTACATTTTACATAATGTTCATGATTGTTCGAATCGATTTGAATAAAAATTGTTGGTACCTTTCCTTTAATTAATTGATTTAAAATAATTATTCCTTAATTACTTACTCTAATCTGTAGAGTCAACATTAAAAGTAAAAAAACATAGTAAAAAAAAGGTTTGTTATTAAATGCTAAATACACTAGTGAGCTCATTCATAAGTATCGACGTAAACATATTGTTTAATGTAACTTATATTTTATGCGTAGCAAGTTTAGCAAACGTTGGAATGCGTTCTGCTAACAAAACTTTTAGTAATTGCAGTTATAACAATTTTTTGAGAAAAAGATACACACTTTTAGCTAAGTTGTATGATAATGGTATGATAAATACATGAAATTAGTAAAAATGGAAACTTTGTAAACGGTACAAATCTCATAACCATCCATCTTATATTACTATGGGTACAGGATCTGCCGTTCTTCTTTTTTCTTTCTTTTTTTTTTTTTAAACAACTCCTGCATTAGGAATATAGCCTGTGTCGCGGGGGACTTTACAAACATACATGAAACGGACACAAAGAACACCCAGACTCAGAACAACAATTTATGGATCACACAAAGTGTCGTCCCATGTGGGGATCGGACCCACAACACTCGGCGTAGTAGTAAGCGGCGTGCCGACCGCTTAAACCACTACGCCATCCGTGCAGTCATTATTTTATTTGGTTTTACAAGATGTTGAGAAAAAATGTATCAATAAAGATCGAGCAGTTTATATACGATGGTAATAACCTCAGCTTCTTGTAGATCTGACAGGTTTTGAACCTTCTCAGTACGAGCTAAGCCACGGGTTTGCAAAAAAAAGCAGTTGAAATTGCCACAGGAAATAAAAATGATTAACTTCATGTGTAATGTCAATCATGTATGTAAAGAAAGATGACTTTGTCTAATGACTTATCTGTAGGAGTCCACTTCGTCGAGAAATAAGCCCAGTACCATTGCATTGAGACCTACCTATCATTGACAGAGCTATTGTTGTTAATGAACCTCTGGTGATAGACCGTATCAGTCTATGCATGGGTGACCATGCTTAGCACACTGGGGCCTATCCGTATCTCGGAGAGCATGTTGAGCCGTCGGTACCGGTTGGTATACGAATAATGTGGTGGCAATCGTTAATAGAATGGGTAGTTTGGGCAATAAAATGTCCGACAATAGTCTTTCTCTAACTCGGTGTGTTCGTGGGTCACTGCTCTGGATCCTGGTGTACAGGAGTTACAGTGGCTCGCGTGTGGGTGGTATTAGTCCCATTAAAAAAAAATAGTCTTTCTAGTCACCTAGTAGGGCTAGTTAGGGCTGTGGTGATCTGTAAGCAGTCGCTCCGCGTAAAAAACCAAAGTTCAGCCTCATCGTAGAAGACTTAAAGTCGACACCAACCTAATTTGGAAAAAAAGTTCTGAGGAAGATAGTGATAGACCCATTAGAGCTCCCAATTAATATCAGTATTGCTGACCGTCATGACCAGAATGTATGGAACGTAGATTCGGTTGTCTTTGATAAAAGATAATCATACATGCACATGTATTGACACTCGAGATCGACAATCAATTCCATTGCTGTATACTATATTTTATATATATTTTAATAACTATATTTAAAAAAGCAATTGATATGTTTTAAGTTTTTAATGTATAAGGTTAAATGGTCCTCGAGATATATCATTAAAAGAAAACCATAACAGAAAAGTTGTGAACGGATGTTACTTGTCACCTTAGCAAAACACTCATTTAGTATGTAAATGAAGGTAAAGGTTTCTTATAAAAATACATTTTATTCTCAAGAAATAGGAGGCTAAAGAATCTTGCAGCTAAAATAGCTAATGTCCTTGCAACAATTCTACACCAATTACCAATTGTCTATTTCAGGAACTTTATAAATTGCTACAACAGTTTTTCATTCACATTATCTAGAATTATCCGCATGGAGAAAAAACTGATTACAATCACAGAAAACCAATACAAACAAACAAAGTGGTTATTTATAAATACACTTGTGTATATAAGCAACGGACAAATTCGTTTCTTATCAGTGTGTCTAAGAGTTTGTGTTGCATAGTTCGACTGCAGTGATAAAAAATAGATACATTAAAAATGATTGATACTATTGTCCCGGAGTTTACGAAGTTTAGTGAATTTGCTAGCATTGGTGTAAGTAGATTACGTAATTTAACTAATATTTAACATTTTAGACTTTTATTTAAATTTGAGTATACGTTTATTCATATGTTTTCTGATACTGACTTAAAAAAAAACAAAACTTCTTCGTCCCAGACAATTCGGAATCCTTTTTATAACAACATATAAAACAAATAATGTTTGGTGTATATATACATTAAAAATATATAATTATTTCGCTTTCTCTTTAATCGCCTAAAACTAAACTTCTATCCTTAACATCGCATCTTCGCATCCGTAACAATTTTTTTTTGTATTCGTCGCATCCCCAGGGATAGAGCAACGCTTTAGCCTTTTCTGTATACCAGGTAATGTGTCTAAAAGGTTCTATAATATTCGAATAACCCGTACGACAATATGTAAGAATAGTGTAGAACATTTACCAATTAAAAGTATTGGAATTGTTTAAAACTGATAAGCACTATTATCAACCGGTTCATAATTCAACTTTAATTATTATATATTAAAGACTGTTATTGATTTATTACGCATCAACAGCCTTTACCAGTCCACTGCTGGACATATGCCTCTCCTTAGAAAAGAGGTTTTCTTACGTATCATCATTAAATAAACATGGTACAATAATGTTAAGTGGAATATTAGCAGTAATGTTATTAAATTTTGGTGAGAATGTTTACTTTACGTATATTTTAGGATGAATAACTGCATTTAACTGGATTAACTGTCACCCTACTAAAATAAAAAAATAAGATTTTTGTCTCATTGTTTATTAGTTTAATCGCACTAATTTCTAAAACTACTACGTAAATTTGGCAAAATATTTTTATGTTGGACAGAGTATTGATGAAAATTATAGATTATAAAACATCAAGCTACAAGTCTTAGGAGTAACCGCTGATCAGAAATAAAAAAAAAGATAGAAAACTGCAAGGATGGCGCAATGGTTTAGTCAGTCACTTTACCACTACGTCATAAACAATCTTTCGGCATTCGGGTGACTCTGTGCAAGTTGTCTTAATAATTGTAAAGTTCATGACAGTAATGATTTCTAGTGAAGGAATTGTTTGATTAAGCAAAAAAAAAAAACAAAAATTGAATCGTAATTTGTTTTCTACAGGCTGGTGGAAAAGTGGTTTTCGCTACAGATGACTTCTTTGCAACATGCGAGAATATGCTATCAGATGCAGAGCCAGTTTTCATTGCAGAGAAATACACGGAATATGGTAAATGGATGGATGGATGGGAGACACGTAGAAAGAGGGTGCCCGGTCATGACTGGTGCATCTTGAAACTTGCTTCTAAATGTATTATACGTGGTTAGTATAATGATAATAGTTTATTGATGCGTATTTTATTCACAAAAACAAGGAGATTAGCATTAAACACTGTAATAGAAACAAAACTGTACTGCTACTTATATGAATATATCTTTGCGTATGTGTGTGTGTGTGTGTGGTTGCATGTGTGTATAGTATGTATCTATTTTTCTTTATAATTTAGTGTTGGGAGCCAAGTATGCAAACTTATTTAAACTTAAAATAAATTAAGTTTACACACATGAACACACGTGTTGTTTAACCGTTTTTAGATGTACACCTGTGACTTCAAATTGCTTTAGTTTAAAAGCTCAGTGGGTTTTCAAACGTTTCTTAATGACAATACGTTTTAAATCTATTTTTTTTTCAACAATCATGTTATAACCAACTGCTAATCTTATTACTGTAGGATTATTGGTAGATACGGCGTTCTTCACTGGAAACTTCGCACCAAAGTATTCCATACAAGCTGCTTGTTTGTCACCTGAAGGTCAGTTATCTATTTTTTAGTTCCTTAATCCATAAAATTTAACTTTAAAGTGACAAACACGTTACACCAAACCACATGTTTTTTTTAATTTGATTATATCTTTTCCCGTCATTTACTAAAATATAGTTTTAAAGATTCTCTATATTCGTCCGGATTCGGATTCGTTTGGAAAAAAGGTATACAAATAATTATTTTTCATATAATAAATATAGATGGATATAATAGATACTAAATTGTATTACTGTAATACTAAATAGTGTACCAGTAAGACTAATAGTCCGAATCTAGTACAAAACAGTAAATGGTTCATTTTCCACAAATATATGAGTCGCAAAGCACTTAGTTCTAGCTCAATGAGGCGTGGTCTGGCAATTTGCCAAAGCTATTCACCGGACACTCGTTATTTTTGCCACAGAAAGGTCTTGGAAACTGAGATTCTTTATCCCCAGGCACTCAATCAATCATATAGATATAATATAATCGTTTAAGAACTAAATGAAAAGTGTATATTTAGTTTCCATTCGATTATTTGAAAGCGTATATTTTACACTATTCAAGATAACTGTTTAATGGAAATTAATCCATGTACGATTAAGAATACAGAGTGTCATCACCCCTGTACATCCCGTGGGTGTCGTAAGAGCCGACTAAGGGAGTAAACTACGCAGAACAACAGCACTGCCAAGAGAAGGAAAACTTGAAACAAACCCTTTTTTTTTTTTTTTTTTTTTTTTTTAACGTGTGGAAATCCCCTCGGACCGTCACCCCTCCGGGGTTTGCGGCGGGGTGGTGTGTCGGACTCGGACCGACTAAAACCACACGGTGTGCCACTCTGCGCCTGTAACAGGAGGGATCCGGGAACAGCTGTTGTTAAGACATCCGGACCCCTCCTAGCGCCAGCCCGCTCCTGGTGCGGGCTCCGTCTCAATGGTGTTCCTCTCTTTAGGCGACGTCCGGCACACGCGGACGCCGCCCCCTCGCGGCTGGCCAAACTAATGCGGGTGGAGGGGAAACCCACCCCGTCCACCCGCGGCCACACTCAGGGCGGCATGAGGCTGTGGTAGGCGGGCCTCCGCCGCCCGGTTCGCCGGCGGCGGATCGGGTCCGAGTGGAGGTCGTCCTCCCGGGCCCTCTCCGCCGCCTCCTTCCGCGAGATTACTACCTCGCAGAAGGTTGCGACCGCGGTAAAACAACTGTCGCTACCGGCCATGGAGCGTACTACGGCCGGTAGCGAGAGATCCACTCCGATGACTGCAGTGAGGGACCGGCGCTGCGCCGCCCATGCGGGGCAGACCGCCAGCGTGTGCTGGGCCGAGTCCTCACTGCAGTCGCAGTGGTGGCAGGCGGGACTCAGTTCCCTCCTAGCGACCGTGTGCAGGTACTTTCCGAAGCAACCGTGCCCGGAAAGCACCTGCGTCAGTCGGAAGGAAAGGGTCCCGTGCTGCCGCCCTGCCCACTCGGCGATGACCGGCTGGAGAGCCTCCACGGCGGCGAAGCCAGCGCGTGGAGTCTCCAGCCGGAACGACCAACGAGCCATCGTGGCTCGGCGAGCGGCTTCGCGCCACTCGCGCACATCCTCGGGCGGAGGGCGAAATCCGCTCTCCGCCCGGTAGTCAGCCACTCGCCGATAAACTTCGGCGAGCACTTCCGCCTCCAAATCCCACGGGGGAGTTCCGGCCAATGCGCATGCCACCTCCGTCGAAACGGTGCGGTAACCGCGTATGGCTCTGACCGCCATTACCCTCTGAGGGCGCCAGAGGCGTACCCTATTCTGGGCGGTCAGAGCCGCCGCCCACACCGGTGCACCGTACAGTGCCATTGACCGGACAACCCCCGTGTACAGCCGTCTTGTCGCGACGCTGGGTCCACCCATATTGGGCAAAAGTCGCCCTAGGGCAGACGCAGCGCCGACCAGCTTTGGAGCAAGCTGTCGGAAGTGCTCGTCGAAGAGCCACCTCCCGTCGAGGATCAGGCCCAGATATTTCATCTGGGCCCGAACCGGTACGAGGACCGAGTTGACCACTATTGAGGCGCCAGGGGGTGGACCACGACGGGGCCCATGGAATAACAGGGCCTCCGTCTTATCTAGGGCCACCCGTAAGCCCAGCGCCTCAATGCGCCCGACCACCAGGGAGACTCCCCCTGTGGCCAGGCGCGCCGCCTCTTGGAAGTTTGCCCCCCGGGCTGTCACGAGGGTATCGTCTGCGTAACAGATTACACCCAGCCCGGGGGGGAAATCGGCGCGAAGGGCCCAGTCGTACCCTATGTTCCACAAGAGGGGTCCAAGAACAGACCCCTGTGGAACACCGCACGACATGGGCCGACACCTCAGATTACCTTCTCGGTCCTCGTACACGACGGTACGCTCCTCTAAATAGTCTGCCACCAGCCGCCTCAGGTACTTTGGCACCCCATGATAGTGGAGTGCTTCCCTGATGCAGCTGAATGGCAGACTATTGAATGCGTTGGCGATGTCTAATGACACCGCCAACAGCACGCCGCCACAGCTCACGGCCTCTTCGGTCACGGCCCTCAGGCGCAACACGGCGTCGACTGTCGAACGCCCCGCCCGAAAACCAAATTGGGCGTCCGACAGATCGGGGCCCACCTCGCAGAGGTGCCGAAACAAACCCTATACCAACCCGTTTGTCCAGCGTGGTATAGTAGGCCAAAACCTCCTTTCTAAGGAGAGGCCTATGCCCAGCAGTGGACTGCTAAAGGCTGTTGATGATGTTGATGATATGCAAGTATTGACGGTTACTTTTATTACAATTATACATTCTACATTGTTTGTGTCAACCATCTTTTACATCACATTTGAGACTCAAAAATTTACTAAGTACAAAACAACAGAAGTTACTTTGATATACAATTTGGTTCGGTATAATACCTTCACAGTATCAATTTTATTTTTATTACTACAGAAGAAGAATGTTTGTCAGAGAGAATATCAGAAATAGGAACGACGTTCAGCAAATTCGACTTGGAACAGATCGAACGACTTAAATCTGACAAATGGGATGAGATAGTACCTGTCACTGCCCTACGGCCCGGTTACGAAGAAACTAGACACAATTATCAAAAGGTAAATGTTTGAAAAAATACACATTAAGTTTGAGCATCGAATGTTTTAATACAAATACGGAACAAGCTTTTGCCCGCGGCGTCCCTCACGTGATTATGTCTTATTTTGTGTTTTTAGTTTCTATCTTTGAAAATGATGAACTTCTATACAACCGTTCCTCCCTTATTTTACCTCTTTAGGGGTAAAATTTACAAAAATTCTATCCTAATGGGTGCTTATAATGTTGTAAGCACCCACTAGGATAAAATTTTTGTAAATTTTGCCAAAATTTCAAGTTTGTAGGCCCAATCGTTCAGGTTCTGTGTTTGATTGATTAATTTAGAAGACTAGATTTTAGATAGCAATGTTGATAGAACATGAACAGAACATTGGAGCAAAATGCTTTTAGTCAAAACAATTAGGAAGACAATCAACTGTAATGACATAAATTATGTATGAGTTATGTATGAATCCTACCATTATACCGTTAATGACAAAAGCCATCTGTTCTATTGTTTCTGCTCCAGCCATCATAAGTTATTGATAATGTCTACCGGTGAATGGCATATCTTCACATACCTCACTCGCACTGCCGTATACTCCTAATTACACGCTTTTATTACTTGGATAAGAATGCGTTGTTTTGTGACCTACAATATTTATGTTGTATTAAATAAAACATTATGTACATATAAATAATAAACTGTGAGACTCCGTAGTTTATAACCCGTTTAAATAATTAAGAACTACATACGGGTATTTGTTTTTAGCAAACAAAATACCACAAAAACCCTTAATAAACTTTCCCCACTTTAATAGTCTCTAAAGAGATCTTTGCAATTATTATTTTTTGGTAAAAAAAAACATTTGAAGAAAAGAAGCAAGATGTGTTTTCCAACAATAAAGATACATTACAGTGATTTATTCTTTTTGACCAAATACCAATTTAGATAATTCCTATTTTAAGTATTGTGATACAATATTTTCTTCGCAATATTCGGTCTCGATAACTTTCCAAAGAATAAAAGAAATCCAATTTTTGTCTTCGAAAAATATTTTTCAATCAAATTTATTAACTGACTGCTGTATTTGTTTCCATTAAATATAAACGTTGCGTATATAATAAATGAAACAGATTTGTGTAGAAAAAACTTAACTTTTATATGCAGTATTATAAATCTACATGAAAAAGTATATAGTACTCATATATTTTAAAACTGCCAGTCTGCAGGTGAATTAGTGGACACTAGAGCGACATTTTTAAAATGCAACACACCTAAATAAAATTACGCAGTTTCATTATAATATGTTTCATTTCAGGTACTAAGTGATGATTCTTGGACTCATATTAGAGTGAATATTTATCCTGATGGTGGAATAGCGCGTCTTAGGGTATTTGGTGAAGCGCGACCTGACCCGCCTCCACAAAATCAAATTATAGATTTGGTTTCATTGCTCAACGGCGGGATATGTCAAGGTATATTAGCTTATTTTGTTACAAAAATCATTAAATTGTAGAAAATGTTCTAACATACATATGTATAAAAAGTGATTTAAAATTGAACTCTATTTTGTCAATCTAAGATTACAATATTTAAAATCAATTAAAAGTTAGTCACACGGTGATTATTTATTTGATGTCATCGTACAGGGTTTTCAAACGCACACTACGGGCATCCCAGAAATGTAATAAAGCCTTCCAAGAATCAATGCATGTCAGATGGTTGGGAAACAGCGAGAAGATTAGACCGGCCTGTAATAATAGAAGCCAATGAAGATGGCACTTTAAGATATACAGGTAAGACAAACTTTTAAATAATAAAAAAAAATACGGCATAGGGGGTAAACAAACGGGTCACCTGATGGTAACAGACTACTTCCGCCCATGGATACCCCTACCTTAAGAGTCCTTCCCTACTATAAGGGTTTTTCTCCCGTCACCCCCCGGTCTCTTGTCAGCATTAGCTTTCCCATGATTTGTTATTACAAATTATTAATTAATAAATTTATAATAAGCTTTGCTCTTATTGTCTCTACAAAAAAAAAAATTACCTTCTCCGTATTACATTTTAATGTCGATAAAAATAACAGTCACTTGTTACCTTATAGGTAGGTATCTATATCATCGTATGCATCTTGTGAAAACTTATTGTACTTGCAGGTCAAGAATGGGCGGTGTTTAAACTTGGATTTCCCGGAAAGATTAATCAAATTTTCGTTGACACACACCTCTTTAAAGGCAATTATCCTGACTGTGTTCAAGTTGAAGGAACTTATTTGAATCGATCTGATTGGTGCCCCGAAACTCTGTGTACATGGCATAATATTTTGAAGCCTGGCAAGGTAAGATCCGTTTTTTACTTTATTAAATTTATTATTTTGTGATATTTTCGTTATTTGCTAGTACGTGGGATTTATGTATATCTTCTTGTCAGATGAAAGACAAAAAATGTGTTAGGCTTACAAAATTAACATGATTAAATTATAAAACATAGAATCTGACATGTCAGTTCGTCTTGAATGGCCTGTCGGTCTAATAGTGATCGTGTCTGCTTAGTCAGATATATAATAGTGTGATGGGTGTGATCATTTTCTCCGTGTCTGGGTGCAATTGTTATAAAATATGTATTTATTTAGAAATATGTTAATATGCTCATAGGCTGGCCATGTGGGAGTTTTTTGAAAATCAAAATAAGTGCGAAGAAAGCTATGGACAAAACTGTTAAAAAAAAGAATACAGTTAGTCAGCAATACGTGTACTACTGATATTGCTAACTGTTTTCTTCTTTAGGTCAAATATAACGAAATTGGATGTTTGACAATTTAAACAGAAATCTCTCGATGTCTAATTCATTCATACATTCATAATCTAGATGTTTTTATCTAAAGTGCCTAATAAATTTCTGTTGTAGTTATCAGCGCATAAAGAACACTGGTTCAACTGCGATTCTGATGTCGTGACACACATCAAAGTAACGATGGCTCCAGATGGCGGATTTAGCAGAATCAAAGTATTTGGATATGCCGATTCCTTTACTAGTTAATTCAAGACCATAAGACAAGTCTATAGCATTCAAAATTGAATGATTTAATTTACAATACAAGTGCACAATATTGAGCAAATGTATTGTATGGTCTAGTGACAAAGTGCAAAGAAGCAATTGTGTGGCCGATTTCATCGCATTGAACTGAGGTGCACCATATTTTATATTGTGTACATACGTTTTGTATAAAGCGCTTGTTGCCTGACGTATGCTTAGTGTACCATTCCTTTGTGGTCACTATTGCTACTCAAATTGTCTTACGGCCATGTCAATTTGAATATGTTAACTTGTTATTAGTTGAAGCATTACTTGACAAGAGTGTATTAGTAAGGCAATACTCTAGTTAAAAAGTGATATAAAAATTATAAATTAATTGGTTTTGATAATTAGGAATGTATATAAGCTATTATTGAAAGAGTACCCGATTTAGGCATTAAGATTTTAAAAACCTACCTTAATTATTAATTAAGATTTAAAACTCTATGTAAAGAGTTGATTTGTATTATTTTTATTGTATTTATTAGACTTGCAACGAATATTCGGTTACTATTCGGTATTCGGCCTATTCGGCTGCTTTTATTATATTCGGCCGAATACCGAATATCTACATATTATTCGGCCGAATACCGAATACTTAAATAATATATTTTGTCATTGAGAAATAATTGGTAAAATGAAAAATTAAAATCGATTGATTACGTATATATTCATATTTTCATTTCTGTTATAATCATTTAAGTAGTCATTGGTGCATAACACAGGTACATAATCATCTTCTGAATTGGAAAAATAGAGGATTTTATGTATTTGAATTATTGTGATAATCAAAATTTAGAAGGGTAAGGTTCTTATTTCTTTTATAATCATTTATTAAGTAGTCATTGGTACATAAAACAGGTACATAATTTAATTCACGTCTGTACAAGTTTTTGGCGCTAAAATCCAGCCGAATACTTTTGCCTAATATTCGGCTATTCGGTCAGGGGCCTCGCCGAATATTCGGTACTCGGTATACTGCCGAATATACTATTCGTTGCAAGTCTAGTATTTATATATCTATACGGTGATGGCCTATAAAATTTAAGATTTAGGTACTTAAATTATTAATTAAATTGTGCAGTGTTTTAATTTATTAGTTTGAAATTTGTGGAATCATGCGTAGGTGTATTCATAATAATTTAAGTGTCAATAATAATTTTAATATTAATTTCTAAAATATTAGTTATTATATTATATATTTTAAATATTTTAAGTTTTTCAGGTGATTGTTCTGTGTGTAGGTATACCTTGTATCCGTCCATTTTACGACTTTAAAGTTATTTTTGAGTAAGAGACGTTTTCCTAGTGTAGGAGTAGCATTTTTAAGATATTGTACTGCCAAACTGAAAAACTGCCAAACAACACAACACAGAGCTTGGATGGAGAATCTCTTTATTAAAGTTCAGTCTTCAGACAGGAGTATAAAAATATAAATATATTAATGACAATCAAAATAATATTGTTTGTAATTATTAAATATTAATTTGATCAGATATTTAAATGATTGTATGACAAACAGTTTTTAGGTGTTTTAGTGTTATTGTTTATTATATAATTTATCGTAGTACGTGTTATTATATTGTACTCATTCAAAATTTTACGTACTATAGGATCACAGAGCAATTTAAACGCGCAGGACGCACCATTCTCTGTGTTTAGAGATAATAATTATAAAAAAAAGTATTACTATGGAATAAGATATAATAGATTATTTATGAAATCAAGTGTAATTGTATTTAAATAAAAATAATTAAAATTCAAAATATTTTATTAATATAAATAAAACCAAGGCTGTGTAACCAGTAAGCGTAAAAAAATAAACACATCAACAGCTTTTACTAGTCCACTGCTGAACATAAGCCTCTCCTAAGAAAGGAGGTTTTGGCCTACTATACCACGCTGGCCAGACGGGTTGGTATAGGGTTTGTGCCAAGTTTTCCTTCTCTCTGCAGTGCTCTTATTCTGCGTGGTTTTTTCCCTTAGTCGGCTCTTACGACACCCACGGGATGAATAGGGGTGGTGACACTCTGTATTCTTAATCCGTCACCACACAGATAAAAAAAAAAGTAAAAAAAAACACCCGTAACAATTTGTTGTCACTCATACAATATACTAACACAACCTTACCCATACGCTGAAGGCCCTCTGAAGAGCCAACTACCTGCAGAAATATTACCTTAAGAGTACTTCGATGTTGTTCTTAATTGGGGTACATTTCACATTCACATTCTGGTACTGTCAGATTATGCCCTAAAATCGAATTTCGTCATCGTTTTCAAATTGAATTATTATTTATTTATGTTGAAATATAAATCCATACAAATAAATAAAATTGGAGTGTCTGTTTGTAATATTAAAATAACCGCTTTTTACTAAATGCATATGTATGTTTACACGGTACATATGCAGAAATAACATTTTTTTACATTTTTTGTCTGTCTGTCTGTCTGTCTGTTTGTTCCGAGTAATCTCTGGAACGGCTCTACCGATTTCGACGGATCTTTCACTGGCAGATAGCTGATGACATAGGGAGTAACTTAGGCTACTTTTTTTAGACTAGCTTCGCCCCGCGGCGTTGCCCGCGGTTATGACAACAAACGCGGGTAACACCGCGGGTCTCAGGTAGTTTTAAATAAAATATAAACTAATCATGATAGGTATAAATTTGATACTTGTTTCGTTGATGTTTCATTAAAAAAAAAAGTATTTTAGTGAATAAATGCTATACACATTGCATGATTAAGAAGAAAATGACTAGAAAATAAATAAAAAGAGTGTGTGGATGCACGGGTGTCATGTCCCTTCAAAAGGTAGGATCCTGTGAACAAGCGAGGTGACCATGCTTGGAGGGCCGCGGTTTATGTTCGAAAGTTGTGTATATGCTAATCAGCTTGATAATTCTTCATAATAACATTGCAATACAGGATTAATAGTTACTCTATAGTACAGTGTGTCCTCGTGTAGAATGTTTCTGTTTCTTTGTATGTGGAAGTCATCACATCACCAAGACCGGAGGTCGATATATTTATGAGTCGGCTATCTATGCTCGGAATCGAGTGCCACTAATCCCAGTTAGTTTTGGCTGAAGTCTGCTGATTCCAGTGAGTCGGAATTAAATGCGATGCGCGGTGTTGCGGTGAAGTCCCCAGTGAGTCGGGGCAGTTGCTGGGTAGTGGCTAGCTGCTACGTGGAGAGATGCTCTTCTTACGTGGACCGTAGGTGAAGTGTGCTGTGCCTAGACGGTGATGAATCCGTAGGGGTACTTACAAAATTATGAGTTTTGCATGTAGGATAAATGAGTGTCTGCCAAACGATTATCTGCGAAATAAATATATTTATGCTATCTGTTGTTATGCAAAATAATATGATGACATAAAAAGTGCTGCTATAAAGGGTAGACCCTTATTAAAAACCACAAATACTTATTCTGTACATTCTAAACTTTACAGTCAAGAGCGTCAATAACACAAAATATAGTAGGTATACATCCATACTATTAATATAATACAGTACCAATAAATAATATAGTACAATACAGTAGTAGTATAATAATAAACCGACTGCACGGATGGCGTAGTGGTTTAAGTTGTCGCCACATCGCTTTCTACTACGCCGAGTGTTGTGGGTTCAAACCCCACATGGGACGACACTTTGTGTGATCCACAAATTGTTGTTCTGAGTCTGGGTGTTCTTTGTGTCCGTTTCATGTATGTTTGTAAAGTCCCTCGCGACACAGGAATATATTCCTAATGCGGGTGTTGTCTTTTAAAAAATAAAAAATAAATAAATAATATAATAATAATAATAACTTTATTTTTGTAGCCGCTTTTCCTCTCTGGCGGACTACTCACCGGCTGACCCAATGGAGAGATTCAAGAGATTACCTCAGGGCGCCTTGTATGAGAATAGAAGTGTGTGCGTGTGGGAAACCTATGGGACTCTTTAGAGGAAAACAACTTACACCTCAGTTATACATACATGTATATTTCAAAAAAAAAAAAAAGTAGATCAAATTTACAATAAGAAATTAAATAAATTAATCAGTGTGGGTACAAGAAAAAGAAAAAAAAACTGCAGCGGAGCGCGTTAGAGCCGAGCTGATGGTGCTCGGTGCCACCTCGTCGTCCCTCCAGGAGGTTACTCCCTCTTCCGCCCGAGTCGGCTATTTATATTAGATATGGATAAAAGTTTAACAATTTGCAATTATAAGTTTAAGTACGTAACTCTTGGGTACGGCTGTCCGCTTGCGTCGTGAGCCGCGCAATCACCAGCTTTGCCAGAGGGTACCGAGAAACTTGAGTCTGAACCAGAAGGCCACAAAAGAGCAAGCACGCCGTCTGAGACTGACCGTCTTGAGCCCGAAATCTGGGACCCTACGAATGGATTAGCACTCATATAAATTAAACAGGTTCCAGAAACAAATAGGTTTAAGTAGAATTAAGACCATACTCACCACTTTAGTGGGTAGATTTGAACAGACTACATATTACGAAATTCAAATTACACGACAATGAAAACACTATTTAAGGTTGGAAGACACGAGATAGCAGAGTGTATCTCGTGGTAGAAAGCCGGACTTATATATCCTCGGTTCAGGAATCTTCCAGAAATTAACCCTTCCTCATCATTTCACTTTGACATTTAAATTGAGAAAGAAAACAACGCTAACAAAATCAAAAGTAACTTGCTTTCCACCATAGCTGAACACTCTCAATACCTATACAATTTGTCATGACAGATTACCAGAACAGATTAAAAAAGTAAGTCTTTTTAATTAATCTATCATGTCTCAAACAAACGCCATCTAGTGGTCCGAAAGTGAACAAAGGAGATCAATACCGTAGCTACAAACTACTTTAGATAAATCAACAAGAAAGCGATGCGGCCAACAGGTGTCGTTTTTATCAATACCGTACGCATTACTAATATACAAAAAAAATAACTGTTACATTTTATATATA